CATACTTATATGTTTATGTATAGTCATATATCTCTTTAAATTCTTTGAGGTTGTAAAGTGTAAATTCAATTTCTATAAATGATAAGTCTCTCCACTTAATTGGTGTGATGAGTACCATTATCAGTGACCCTTACCATGTCAACGCCAACTGACTTGGTTAGAGATGATGGTGTTTACCAATAATCTCACCTGGCGAGGTAAATGAGTTGGTGCTTACCCAGTTTGTTTGGTAAACAGTCTCTAGAGTTTGATTCTATTTTCTGGGTCTAGGATTAAGTGATAGAAAAGCAGAGTTCATCAGGGAGGTTACTGTCCATGTCCCATATTCATGTAAAAATAGATTTGTGAGCCCCTTGCAAGCTCAAAGTTGTGGGCTACCAACAACTTTCACTGTGGTTTTAAGTTGGATTAGAAGTTACTGGGGCAGCTTGCTGCTTTGTGCTTGGGGGCTTACTGTTACCAAATAATCCCCAAAACTGTGTGTTGTTTGAATGCAGATCAAGTTTGAGGAAGGTATCATTGGGACGCCACAGTTGACAGACTCCATTGTTTTACCAGAAAATGTTGAATTTTTAGGACAGAAAATCGACCTGACTCCTTTTAAAGGCTTGGTCACATCGGTCCAAGATACAGCTTCGAATGTTGCAAAGACCATTTCGAACCAAGGCCCGTTAAAGTTCTCTATCTCCCAAACGAATGCGGAATCGTGGTTATTAACAACTTACCTCGATGAAGAACTTCGGATCTCGAGGGGAGATGGTGGCAGCGTCTTCGTTCTACTCAAGGAAGGCTCTCCCCTACTATTACCTTAAAGTCGGTATGTACATTTCTTGTCTTCCATGAGTTAGTAACATGCACAAAAGCCATTCACTCTATGATGTATCTAGAAATAATCGAGTTATGATTACGGAAAGCATTATGTAACTATTATACGTTGTTTATTATATATACTTGTGCTGTATGATGAAGATATAAATAAATTGGAACATGATTCGTAAAAACGTCCCTAGTCGAGTAGTATTTTAGAGTAAGACTGAAGTTTACATTCGTTACTAGCTTATCTTGGAACTCATATAGTTGATATGGAGTTTGCATATGCATACTGAGTTGGCAAAGTTGTGTAGCCGATGGAAAAACGGGTTTGGACAACTATTTTAGAAAAACAGACGGTCTGAGCGATTGAAAAAAAAAATCCGGCCAGGTCCATGTAGTTTGTTTATATTTTTATAATGATCTAAATGTTGGATGCATATTAGGATGAGATGCATCGGATCAACCTTGTTTCAAGCGTGGTTCTTGGTGGGTTTGAGATTAAAGGTGATCAATGGTCTATATATCTTTTTATGTTTTTCACATTAACTCTTCTTCTCATACGATTATTCACCATAATTGATATTCCAACGACTCAAATTCTCATATCCAAATTTTATGACGGCCAATGCTCCTTTTGACCCTTCTCAAATGTGAAAAAGAATCTATATTTTGAATGATTTTAGATGGAGTAATAAAATTAAGTTTCTGTAAATGTAAAAGATTTTTTTAGAGTGATGAGGCTGACAAGTTATGAAGCAAGCCAGTAATAGACGTGTTGGCTAAAAACGGTAAGGGGCCGTTTACCAAACACTTATCCGGGTAAGTGCTTATCAAATACTTTACCAAGAATCTTATCTAGTACGAGGGAAACAAGGACCGAGAGTCTTACCCGGTAAGTGAGGGCGACGACTCTTACTATGGTAAGTGATTACCGGGTAAATTGTTGCATACGATGCCGTTTTGGTGGACTAAAGTTTTACCCGGTAAGTAAGTGGTAGTGTTAAATTTTTCCGATAAGTGCTTACCGGATAAGTGTTTGGTAAACGGCCCCTAAGTTAGATTCGGGGCTTGCCCGACCGGAGTGTGCAAACAATCATCTCTACCATTCATTATTTATCAACATATTCAGATTCAAGATCTCATCAATATCTTATCTTTTATATATAACATTTGATAAAAATTGTTAAAAATCATTTTTTATGCATAAAATATTGTTTATTTATGCATATTACTTAAAATTCAAGATTACAAATAAATTGTACGTAAATACAACTTATTAAAACTTCATGTCTGAATTCGTGTAACTAACTGCAGATAAACATTTCATTATAAATAAAAAAAATCTAAACTATAATTATGATAATCATTGAGTTCTAACAAAATAGGTAATTATTATCCTTATAAAAAATATTATATAATTAAATCAAAAATAGATTACTTCGTAATTAAATCTAAATTAAATTATAATAAAAAAATTACATTAAAGAAATTACACAAAAAAACAAGAACTTTCAAATAGTTAATTTGATATTAATATTGATATATTTATTTTCAAATTTATATTTTATTAAAAAATAAAAACATTATTCCTTTCTCAAAAACCACATAAAAACCATGATAGAACATCTACAAAGACGAAATAAAATGAAATACTAAAATCGAGATATATCTCGTTGCATTGCGCGAGTACTCTTTTAGTTCAAATAAAACCAATTTGAAGTATATCTTTATTTTTATTCTCTTAAATATTTAGATAATCATAAAATTTTAAATTAAGCAAATTATACCAAATTTTTTTTATAATCTTTAGATTACACTATATTTTTAATATGTGTTTTCTCTTGTTTCCTTTGTTTATATATATATAGGGAGGATCTTTTGTTAAACAATTCATTGGTGTTAACTCTATAAACTACTTTAGATTAATAAGAAACCAATTTTAAATAAAGTTGTCTCAATGGATGTAGCTAGGTATTGTTTGAGGGTAATTAGGTAATTTTTTGTTTTATCCTTCTTTTATAACTTAAAATGACCGTTACAATGTAGACATGATTTCATGATTTAAGCCATTTTAGTTATATCGGTTTTTTTTAAGTTTATTAGTGAGCAAGACCATGAAATAACAAAGATAGATGATCAATATGAACATAATAGTAGTCAACATGAATGAATGTATACTCAATATTCATTAGTGAATATTGTTTACATCGACTAACTTGTTCATTAGTGAACACTGTTCACCAGTCACATATGTACACATTCAGGTACATTTCATTAATAAGCATGTTCGTATATCCTATATTTTCATTGGGGAACACTATTTATAAATTACTGACTTCATTACGCGAATGTTATATATTGAACACTGTTCATATATGACAATTGTTCATTATTAATTCACACAACTCATAAGTTACACATTATATATTAACAAATGAACACTTTAAACTAATTTGCTTGTAGTTTTATTGGGTTAACAAGGTAATTAATATTAAAACAAATCTCCCTAAACAATGGAGTAATTATTTTAAAAATAATTAATGTTAAAAGAAATCTTTGTGATCTTTTTCAAAATTACCCTTTCTTCATTATTGTTTATCTATGTTCATTAAACATCATTTTTAATTTATTACAAAAATGCACTGATGAATTTAATTCATAGATCACAAATATTAAAAGCTAGAATTTGTTAATGTGATAACTGGATCCTGGTTATCACCCGAGGTAATTGACATGTGATTATTTGATAAATGATTATGTGACAGCATGATAAAATGATATATTTGATCATGCTATTATGTGAAATTATATGCATAATATGGATGCATGTATGAGATTGTGTGTGTGTACATAATTATACATGCATGAATGAGTGTATGCATG